CACACACACACACACCTTACCACTAGCTCTAATCTTCCTGCAATTTGGCGTAAACTCACTTCTATTCCCGGAATGCTGCCGTTCTCGTTGTCCTAAATCGAACGGCATAAGCCTAGTAGATGCGACCAAGGAGGTATCCACTAACTACGCAAGCGGTTTTTTGGCCTCTAATTTTGAGCTCTTTGATCTGCCATGTGCAACACGACACAGGAATGAGTAACCACCTTATCGTAGACCACCCCGCCCTAAATTCCAAGGCTTTGGGATAAGTTTCGGTTAGGACTAGGTTTAGGTTTAGTCTTAGGTGAGTTCACTGGAAAAGGCGCCCCTGGAATTTAGGGAAAAGCCATTTGTGGTATGGTAGATATTTCGGCATCTAAACATTTTGTAGCTTGTTCTTAATATAAGATCTTGATAATCCCGTAAACTGTCAGGTTTTTACAAGAAGAAGCTGTGTTTAGTGTAAGAATCGTTTGAATGACACGATGAAACTGTTCGCATTCTTCAAAATTATTGCAGACGCCTATGTATGTACCCAATACGTGCTTTTCATCGTCAGTGGTTGTCATTTCAAAATTTTTATCGTGCAAAAGCTTTACGTTGGAAGTCTTGTGCACAGATATCTTTCCATTTTCAGTTATTTGCTTAGAACTATCAGTATTATAATTCTGAACCAGAAATCAGCAAGCACCAACTATCGGCAAACGTTAGTCAAGGCGTGTTCAAATCTCCCGATCTAACCTACTAAGACAGCGAGCGCGTGGCTCAATGATTAGAGCGTTATGCATCTGATCAAAAGCTTACGGGCTCGAGCCTCGGGTGGGGCACCAGTTAGGGTTGGGTGTGACTGGCTGATGATGGTTAATGAGCCAGAAACGGCCATTCCAGTCTCCCTTGTCTATATCGGCAGTGCTATCTGCTGGAGGAGCTCGAGAATGAGCTCCAACGCAGAGCGGGACGAGTGAATTCCGTTAGTCATCGGTAAACATCAATCAACAAGTGTAAAGACCTACATTACAAATATACGGATAAAGCCACCTCGATGTTCGGTTATAGATATTGCCACCAAATGAGTTGAAATAAAAATGTGCTGTTGTTCAAGACGATCCAGAATCTGATGGATGCAATTTTGTTTCCCTTACCGTTTGTAATTTTTAGTAACTTTAGACCGCATCATGCGCTACCGAACAAGTAGACTGTAATTACTAAAAAAACTTACGAATTAAAGAGAACATTCGCTTTGCAGGTATTTGCATTACCTAAAGAAGATAGATGATCGAACACCGGAACGATTTATATTTTATTCTGAGCTTTCGGACTCGTACCGGAGTCCATCGTCAGAAATGTAAAGCAGCAACAAAAGAGTAGCTAGGCACAGCCTGTGAACAAACAGTTAAAATTTGAACGGGTAAAAATCGATAACTGTTAGGTTTGGGCGCCTAACGTCAGTACCGAAAATGGGACGATTATGGAGGATGTGGTGCCAGACGTCCGTCATAATTAATTTGCCCCACATCCTCCATAATTGCCCCATTTTCGGTGCTGACGTGGCCATTATGCGCCTTAACCTAACAGTTATCAATTTTTTACACGTTCAAATGTTAAATGTTTGTTCACAGGCTATAACCAGCCACTTTTTGTTGCTGCTTCACATCTCTGACAATGGACTCCGGTAAGAGTCCGAAAGCTCAGAATAAAATACAAACCGTTCCGGTGTTCGACTATCTGTCTTCTTCACTAAAGATTTTTGTTTATAAACAGCTATAAACGTTTAAGACCCTTAGATGTTTATTGAGTCTTACGGATAAATAAGGCAACGCGCACTTCCAATCACGTGAGACGATAATAAAGTGGACAAATTACCTGAAGAAAAGGCCTCACTAAACCAATCAGACGAAGAGGTTTCTGAGACATTCACGCGCACTTCACTGCTTCCACTCTCCTCCGTGGGAAGATGAGCAGCATTCCGGGAACGTCTGCGAGAGGAGGACTTGGATCTCCTTTCGCCAGAGCGTGAGCCGGTCGGGTTCTCAAGAGCTGCTTCCGCAGCAGCCACGAAGCCCACCGGGACATTATTGCCGCCACCAGCGGTGGCATAACTGGTGACGGTGGCCGCACATGCAGCGGTGGCCTCTGTCCGCCTTGGGGTCGTGTTGCGTTGACAGGGCTGCAATCGCCCCACCCCCTGCGACCAGCCAACGGTC